TGGACTGGAGTCTTGTCAGCCAAAGGAGGTTACAGGTTCGTCGGAGAGTTTTTCTCCAGGCCGGAGAGTTGAAAGGGACGTTGGGGGGCCCAGTTGGTGGTAATAAAGGGACTCATGCTGGTCCTCTGGCTGTGTTGCCTTTGTGCCACACCCGGGGTCATCGCAATGGCCTTCAATCATGAACCCCAAATTTCTGTCACTAAGCGAGACAGTTGGTGACTTTGGTCCCATTTTACAACCTTCCCCGCCACCGTTGTTAAGTAAACCACTGCAGTTGGTGAAGTTTGTAACCCGGTTGTGAAGTGAATCTGGCTTCCCCCATCGGCTTCGCTTGTCAGAAGGTCCCCAAAGGGGATCATGACAACCATCACAACTACCTATCGGTTGCTAAGCATCTAAATTTCGTTGACGTAACCGTGATGGGGATAATGCATGGAAAAGTATGGAAAGTGGCAATAAATCACTGTTTTCAGTGCCTTTTTAACTTCAAACAGTCACTAAATGAATTGTCGTAAGTTGAGAACTATCTGCATAACCTAATTTAACTGTTGCGGAGCTCTCTCGCTCTCCCTTTCTCCCCCTCCCCCCTCTCTTTTACTCCCCCCTTCCCTCTCTCTCCCTTTTCTCCCTCTCTCTCCTTTCCTCTCTCCCCCTCCCTCCTTCTCCCTCCCTCTCCCTCTTTTTATCCCTCCTTCTCGCTTTTCTTCTTTATCCCTCCCTCTCTCCCCCTCCCTTTCTATCCCTCCCTTGATCCCTCTCTTCCTCTCCCTCTTTCTATCCCTCAGCCTCCCAATCTATCCTTCCCTCTTCCTCCCTCTGTCCCTCCCCCTCTCACTCTTCATCTTTCTATCCCTCCCTCTCTCCCTCTTCCTCTCTCCCTCTCCTTCTTTTGATCACTCCCTCTTCTTCTCCCTTTCTATCCCTCCCTCGCTCCCTCTCCCTCTTCCTCTCTCTCTCCGTCTCCCTTTTTCTATCCCTCCCTCTCCCCCTCCTTCTATCCCTCACTCCCTCTTTCCTTCCCTCTCTCCCTCTCCCTCCTTCTCCCTCTTTTTATCCCTCCTCACTTTTCTTCTTTCTATCCCTCCCTCTCTCCCCCTCCCTTTCTACCCCTCCCTTGTTCCCTCTCTTCCTCTCCCTCTTTCTATCCCTCAACCTCCCAATCTATCCCTCCCTCTTCCTCCCTCTCTGTCCCTCCCCCTCTCACTCTTCATCTTTCTATCCCTCCCTCTCCCTCTTTTCCTCTCCCTTTCCTTCTTTCAATTCCTCCTTCTTTTCTTCTCCCTTTCTATCCCTCCCTTGCTTCCTCTCTCCCTCCGTCTCCCTTTTTCTATCCCTCCCTCTCTCTCCCCCTCCCTCTTTTTATCCCACTGTCCCTTTCTTCCTTCCCTCTCTCCCCCTCCCTCTTTCTATCCCTCCCTCCCTCTCCCTCCCTCTCCTTCCCCTCCAACTATGGAGAGCTGTTTCTCTTGTTTGAAGCCACTGCTGTAACTTTTTTTTTGAAACTGCGTTTATTTACGCCTTGGCCAAATGGATATGCAGGGACGGTTGAACAATGGCCAAGGAGTCTTTCTTTGCTGGATAAATGGATGGGACTTCCTTTGCTTTGCTTTGCTTTGCTTTCCATGTGATATTTGCCCATTCCTAGGCATCATTTTTGTAGCGAGGGTTTCCTGCAGAGGGGCCAGGCTGCTGCATGGTGGCCTAAGGTTCCACCACCACCGTGCTGGATGTCACACCACCGTGCAAGCCCTTCCAGAACACCGTATCCTGACCGCCGTGTTCAAAACCGACGAAGCGCACGCCGGAACCGTAATCGGCGAAGGTGTGAGTGATCTTAAGCCAGGGAGAGAAAAGAGAAAACTCGGATGAAAGAGCAGAGAGTTCGACGCATCGCCTCCCGCAGCCCCCTTTCCTCTGCCCAGGGCAGTGGTGGGTTCCTGCCAGTTTGGCCG